TACAAAGATCTTAGAATGTTTGGATGAACTAATATCCTAGAATACAAAGATTTAGTAGGTTTAGAAGAACTAGTATCCTAAAATACATAGATTTAGAAGGTTACTAGTATTCTATAATCCACAAATTTAGAAGGTTTAAAAGAACAGTATCCTATAATACATAGATTTAGTAGGTTTAGAAGAACTAGTATTCTATAATCCACAAATTTAGAAGGTTTAAAAGAACAGTATCCTATAATACATAGATCTAAAAGGTTTAGAAGAACTAGTATTCTAGAATACATAGATTTAGAAGGTTTAGAAGAACTAGTATCCTAGAATACATAGATTTAGAAGGTTTAGAAGAACTAGTATCCTAGAATACATAGATTTAGAAGGTTTAGAAGAACTAGTTTCCTAGAATACATAGATTTAGAAGGTTTAGAAGAACTAGTATCCTAAAATACAAAGATTTAGAAGGTTTACAAGAACCAGTATCCTAGAATACACAGATTTAGAAGGTTTAGCAGAACTAGTTTCCTAGAATACACAGATTTAGAAGGTTTAGCAGAACTAGTATCCTAGAATACACAGATTTAGAAGGTTTAGCAGAACTACTATCCTAGAATACACAGATTTAGAAGGTTTAGCAGAATTAGTATCTTAGAATACACAGATTTAGAAGGTTTAGCAGAACTAGTATCCTAGAATACATAGATTTAGAAGGTTTAGAAGAACTAGTATCCTAGAATACGTAGATCTAGCAGGCTTAGCAGAACTAGTATCCTAGAATACATGGATCTAGAAGGTTTAGCAGAGCTAGTATCCTAGAATCCACAGATTTAGAAGGTTTAGAAGAACTAGAATCCTAGAATACATAGATTTAGAAGTTTAGAAGAACTAGTATCCTAGAATACATAGGTTTATAAGGTTTAGAAGAACTAGTATCCTATAATGCATAAATATAAAAGGTTTAGAAGAACTAGTATTCTAGAATACATAGATCTAGGAGGTTTAGAAGAACTAGTATCCTAGAATACATAGGTTTAGAAGGTTTAGAAGAACTAGTATCCTAGAATACATAGGTTTAGAAGGTTTAGAAGAACTAGTATCCTAAACTACATAGATCTACGAGGTTCAGAAGAACTAGTATCCTAGAATACAAAGATCACTGAGGTTTAGAAGAACTAGTATCCTATAATACATAGATCTAGGAGGTTAAGAAGAACTAGTATCCTAGAATACATAGATCTATAAGGTTTAGAAGAACTAGTAACCTAGAATACATAGATCTAGAAGGTTTAGAAGAACTAGTAACCTAGAATACATAGATCTAGAAGGTTTAGAAAAACTATTATTCTATAGATGTATAGAGGAACTCGCAGGTTGTTAAATATCTATAAGAATCTATGATATACCTTTTAAATCATATACTACTCTAGTAAGACCAAAAGGACTAGATGTTAAGACCGGAATAGTAGAGGTATTTCCGGTCTTTCTTGATTAAGCAAGGTTTTAGGTTTAGATACGAATTTGTCATTAAAAATGCAGTATTTTGCATTCTTAATACCAGATATATCTAATCTAGTATTATCCTGTTTTATTAGGATTTATTCTCATATAACATACAACCGTCCTGATTCTTGTTTTCTTTCTATATATACATGGGTACATTGGTGAAAAATTCATGCGCATCGTAATTTAATTTTTTTCTTTACTGTATATTTTTAACCTGCAGTTTTGTAGTTATTTTGCTCCAGTTTGTGTAAAGAATCTATTTTTTATATCAATTGTCTCACACATCATTTCCTGCTGATATATGCTGTACAAAATATCCATAAAGTGATGTATATTTGTTCGGACACGCAACTAGGGGGGGCCCTAACACTTTTTCTTAAGGGAGGGCATGCCCCCCCCCCTTAAGAAAAAGTGCCCCCTCCTTTAGGGTGGGATGGGGCAAGAAGTCCTTAACAGGGGTCCATATAGTTGCCATCTTTAACTAATTTTCTCGAAATTTAGAAGAAAAAATAATAGGCCCCCGGAGTAATTTTTTAACCAGCACTCATTTATGTCCCCAACTCTTAAAGCAAACTCAGATTTTAGTATAACATTTTTCAATATAAACTCAAATTCTTTTTAATATTGCCCCCTTTCTTAAAAAAAGCCCCCAAAGTTCGATTTTTTAAATTACACTCATACATTCTTATTCAAATTGCCCCACCAGACTTAAAGCCCGCTTTTTAAGAATGCCACCAAATATTCATAATTTGCACCTAAATTAAATTTTTTTTTATCCCCAAATGTTTAAGGTAATTACTCCATAATTAAGAAGTCTTGCGCCCAACAAAAAAAATAACCCTTTGATCAAAAAAAGGGCCTTCATATACTTTGAAAATGCCCTTATATAAAAATATTTGCCCTCAAAATAAATACTTAAGAATTCCCATACACAAATTGGCCAAACACGATAAAAGCCCCCAAAACAAAATTTGCCCCTAAAACAAAGGTTTAAAATTTCCCCTAACTGAAAATTGCCACCAAAATTTGTCCCTGAAATATAGATTTAAAATTTTTCCCACACAAATTTGCCCCAAACTGAAAAGAATGCCCCCAAATGTAAAAATTTACCCCCAAAATATCCTCAATTGGTAAGGTAGTTTTTTCATGGTTGAGTATAATACACATTTTCTTGCCCCCCCCCAGAAATGTTTAGGGGGGAG